TCTCTAGAGTCACCTGTCACCTTCGGACTGGTTGTCCCCTGCGCAGGGCACATTAATGATCATCGAACTGACGACCCGCTTATTATAAGTTTTCTGTTTTGTCGCGGGGAAATGATAGCGCCCTGTAGGCGCGGGGCGCCCTTCTGGGGAAGAACTGAGTTATGGTGACTTTCAAAGAGGTAGATATCAGCAGGGCCCAGCCCCGAAGAGCTCCGTGCTCTTGAACACGGAACGTGAATGCAAGCCGGGCATGCTGGTCGTGTAAGTGTCCGTGAAGGGACGTCATTATCGACTCCGGGATATCGAGCAATTATGTTCAGCGCTCTACGATAGAAGAATGTCAGCTGTATGCTGAGGCGCTGGAAGACCGGTTGAGTGACATCGTCACTGTTCGCTTAGCGACGGAGACTTGTGTTACATTGCCGAGGGTCCCTGTGGACCTCGGGGTCAAGCTCCTTGACTTTGATTGCTTGGAGCGCTGTCTAGTCTTAGATTTTGATACAAGGTATGATGGTTGGAACACCATGAGCCATAGATCGATTGAAGGTCGAAGGATTTGGGCGCTACGCGAACCTCCCTTGGTGGAGATTTGGTGAGTCATCACCACTGCTTGAAAGCAGAAGCGCTATTGGCGCGGCCACTGGACTGGAACAGTCAACGTACTGGAGAACGGAGTATTCGAGTTGTCGAGCTTCGAACGTGTATCGGACAGGAGTCCCGAGCATGGCTCGCGGGCTGAACGTGAATTGGCACGTAACCCACTGAGTGCTGGTCAAGAATCGGAGCAGTTGCTGATTTCCATGCGTGATTTGATCGGCAAAAGGCCAAGGTACGAGGCCGAGGCTCTAGTAATGGCACGTAATCACTGATGGTGGACGGGGTTGAAGCATCTAAAGCAAGGCCATTCAGATGAGCATGGAGTGGCACGTAAGTCACTGAGCGATGAAGCAGTTGCTGCATGCCGCGATTGGCATGGTCGAACGAGGTCCGAGACATCTTGGGTAAGGCCCTTCAGATGCACGTGAAGTGGCATGTGTTCACTGGAAGAAGACTGCTTAGCTAGATGCTCTTCGTCATATGTTTTATTACGAAATCAGGTCTCCAATGGAGCAGGAAATGAGGCTAAGACCGGTCGACGTTGAGTGCGTGTTCCCACTGGTCTTGCCGAGACATAGAACCTCTGTGCATAGGCAACAGCGATGCCGTATGCTAGCTGCAAGACGCCGGGCGTCGACCCTGACCCAGGACGTGTCTACCGTAGACGATAGCGCACAGCTATAAACCCTCGTCAACGGTATGGCGGTGGAGGAAGACGGCAACGTCACCCTTGAGGCTATTCCTGCGGTGGATGCTCTCCTTCAGCTGATTTAAATGTCCTTCGAAGAGTTCGAAGGCAGGCGACTTAGCCGAGGCGGTCATTATACGACCTGAAGAGGAGATCAATTTGTCGTCGCTTCTGAATGAAGCTGTCCTGGATGACATCAAGGGGTGCTGAACGCACAAGGGGATTTCGATCCTAAAGAATCCCTCGGATCCGTACATTCCTTTGGTAAAGACAATTCAAGACGTCGTCTCCGAAGACCCGTCGGTCCTACCTCCGGACCGTGGTGAGCATCGTGAGATCAAACTGGTTCCAGGAACCAAATACTGTGACACGCCAGAGGCCCCTACCCAAGGAGCAGGACTCGACGGGCAACAGGGGTATTGTGGTCTTTGTCGACCCTTTGAGTATGATGGCTTATCTTGCGGCGGTGCCGGAGACCATCGACGATGTTGGTACAGCAACGCTGTTTATTGATCGTGTTTTTCGATAACATTGACTCCCGGATTAATTGTCTCTGATAGAGACCCACGCTTCACTGGGAAGTTTTCGTCGCCAATTATCAGGGTGCTGGACACCAAGTTGACTATGTCGACAGCGGACCATCCGCAGACCGATGGTAAAACCGAGCGCGTGAATTACGTTGTTGAAGATCTCTTTTGCAGCGTCTGCGCTGCGACGGCGAGGCACTGGAGCGATATGCCGCCACTTGTGGAGTTTTCTCTAAATAATGCAGTGCATACATCTAACGGCTAAGCGCCGCTCTACGTGAACAGGCTCGTTTATCCTCGATCCCGCTGATGCCGCTATCCCATCACTCAGGGCTTGGTAGGGTAGGAATAGCGGAGCGGCCAGCTGATGTCAGCCCCCTTACTGCCCGTAAAGAAGTCGATGATTCCTGTCTACCAGACTGAAAGTCTTACGACACGTTCGCGATGCGATGGCTGAAAGCCAATACATGCAGAAAGAATGTGCAGACGGAAGAAGCAGAAGAGATGCTGAAAACTTTTAGGTCGGAGACCTGGTTTTAATTTTTGCCTGAAACACCTGCAGTTTCTGCTGTCCTAATGACAAAGCTCCGTCCACGGTTTATCGGACCTTTTATGGTCGTGGCCAAGCGGGGCCTCGTGCATACGCTAAACCTTCCGAAACAGATGCGCACCCAACCGGTCTTTATGTGGGTTTTCGTAAGCCGTACCCGGATTAGGCGCAAGTAAGCGCGGAATCATTGGCGCCAGGGCGGCACCCAAAGGCGCTCGGCCACCCAGAAGCTGAACCAGTAACTGGTTCTATGCACGGAGTGCACCGATCTCCGTTTCAACGGCGCAAGGCTATCCATCATCGCACGAAGTGACGTATTCGTCTGCGCGATGGTTAGAAGCCGCTCCGACAGAGCGCGAAAGACTTTAACATGAGGCAGTTGGTGCACAGAGTGCTCCAGGCTCTCGAGGTCTTTTGCACAGCGGTTGATGACATCGGCAACATGCTCAGGGGGGTGCCGATAACGACGAACTTTGTCCAACAAAGATTGGAGAGCATCGCGAGACATCGGACGTCGATCGACCAAGTTGTCATCGCTCGCCGCCGATTTATCTTGATGAGAACGGTGGCTTCCACTATCACGTGGAACGCCTTCTGGGTCGATGTCGTCGACAGGGTCAAACCCAATGTCTTGTAAAGTGGCGGGAATACCCAAACTCCGAGCACTCATGGGTGTTTGATGTGTCACTTCAGCAAGACTGCCCAGATGTTGTGCATACTTATGATCAGAGGGATCATGACGCTCCGCATCGTCGTACGTCTCGCGCTTCTTGGCAGTAGACCGGGAAGCCGAAGGGCCATGAGCTGAGCTCAAGCAATGGCCCCGAGCTCTGCGGTCGAATCGTAGACTCACCTGTGCGAGAGACCACTGAGCTCGCGGGAGCATGATGGTTTAATCCATGCGTCGCAGGACAACAATACGAAGGAAGGCGGCGTTGCGCCTTGAGTTTGGCAAACTCGAACCGAAGATGGCGTTTCAGGAGCACGCCCATCTCCTTGTGGCTCCGCTGTAAGTTGGACAGCGAGGAAATTTTTCGGTGCCGCTGCACCCATCTTCATCACCTGGAGCAGTTTCGCTAGGGGCGAGCACCACTGAGATCGCTCGCATTGCGGGACCAGGAGCATCTTGTACTTTGATCGCAAAGTTGAGTGCGGTACCTATCCACTGGCATTTCTTAGAGTACCAAGAAACGAGCTCGGAGAGCTTTTCGCCGGTCAAGCTCAGCTTGTGTAGTGGCCGGGGGCCCGACTACATAGATACCTAACTATCGAGTGGTCGCGTCTTTCGCTTCAGTTGCGGATATCACCGTGCGAAAGTCGTATTCTACATGAGGGTTGAGAACCGACCGTGGTTGCGAGCGCATGAGAGCCGCCATGTGGGCAGCCTCCAAGTGCTGCTCCTGTGCCTCGTCAAGGCGATTGGTAATAATAACACTTCTCCCGGAAGACGAGAGGGGGGAAACAGACACGGTGTCCGCAAGGTTCGAGCAGGGCTTACGTCGCGCCGTTGGCGCATCTCACCTGGGAACGGAGTATTCGTCTCGTAGTCGACTTCCTTCAAATCCTCGACGAGGACTCCGACGCTCGTGGCGGGTGCGGTGAACAGTGCACGGTTTCCGAGAGCTTGAGATGCGCTTTCCTAGAAGCCGTGGATGTACTGTCCGCAGTTACCACGCATGTTGAGGATGAAGAAGGGCTCTGCCCGCGGGTGCTCTCGAAACCTGCGAGGCTGGGTGTTTTTCGTGTCAGAGACACAGGGCTCGTTGAGCAGAGAATGCGTGAAGAAGGCCCTGGGGACGTAAGGGTGTGCTAGAAACGCGATCCTCGTACGAGGCGACAGTTAAATGTGAATTGTGGGTACCTAAAATTTTAATGGGGGGAATCTAACGGGGGTTACACGTGCCCAGGTATAAAAGGATGGGTCACACAATATGGTGTGCCCGTTCAAATGTGTGGTTTACACAGGTCGGTGTCATTACAATGGTGTGGCCACACCGTAACAAGAAGCCACTACGTGGCGGAACTGCCTGTAGTTATGCATATTAATAAGGTTTTACTATTTAATCAGGAAAACCTACAGGTTAAGATATAGTCGCTCTACCGCAGTTAAAATAGACAGATACAGCTTCAATTCTGAACGAAAGAGTACAATTACCTTGGGTTAAGGTTTTGGGTACTCTTGAAGGTAGCGGATTGCGATCCGCTACACTCTTACTGACTCTAGTATAGAACGTAAGGTCGGTGACCTTAGCTTAGCTACCTTTAAGCAAAGAGCTACGGCAGCGCCGCTGCATACCCCGTCATAGATGCATCCAAGAATCTACCGTCCTCGCAGCGGTATTGAGCTGTTGTCGTATGGAAAAATTTAAATGCAGTATCCAAAACATTTAATTCGATATACTAGCAGAAGATGCAATTATTTCTCAGCTGGAAGACAGGGACTACTGACTGGACGGCGATATATTTTGTTGTTGACGGGCCGTAAGGAAGTGCGGCACGAGACGATTAATACATCGCCTAGCTTTGCAGTTGGTGGTACATGGAGTAAAGGATTATAAAGCTATCGTCTTGGAAGGGAAAATGAATCCTCAGGAAAAAAACGAGGGCAAAGGATTCAAAGCTGCAGGTGCATGATATTTTATAGTGTAGGAGAAGAGAATACAAGTCGATCAAGGGTACCAATCCATTTCGATTGTAGACCGGCAAGATCCACAAAAGTGGCACTCCTCACAAGCCGAACGAAGCAAAGATCCAATATCAGGACGTGAGTCGGTAGAAAACCAGCTATAATCGAAGACCTCAGGCCTTCATAGATACTTAGCTCAGTTTTGATTTTTTTAAAACACGTACAGCAAATCTCTGCATTCGGGATAAGCATGATGTCTTGAAGGGAGCTGTACGCGCTCGCGTAGATGTATTCAAATAAACTTACTCATTACACATTCATTTCTACAAATTTAGTTCGATAAAAGCACTGGTACTGATTAGGGCGATGTAACTTCGTAACGAAGACTTCCGCGAGACACGTGAGCTGTTAGCCTCAGCTTCCTAAGTCTAGAAAAACGTTTTGATCTTAGATTGGCTGATATATCATATATAATTATATTTTTTGTTACTCTGTAATCAGCAAACTGAATCATTACTCTCTTCCGAGCTCTCAGTTTCGCTTCTTGGTGAAGCGCACGATTCCAACGTATGTGCTTACATCGTGAGTAATATTTGACCCAACAAAGCACAGCCTCTCAGTGGTTTCTCGGACGGCAAGATCAGCTGCGGCGACGTCAGTCGCTGCTGCTGAAATTGTACTGGGGTTGGGTGGCTGTACCGAGGACGTAATGACTTAATGTGTTCTTTGGATTTGAAAAGGGCTCGTTGCCGTTCTATTTGCAGTTTCATAGGCGACTAGCTGAAATGTCAGTCAATGCTTGACTGTGTGAAGCTCAAGGCGCGGTGTCAAATTACTCGATCTCTCATCTAGCCCAAACAAATATAAAAAGCGATGTCCATATACATAAGTCTGCTGCCCTCGTTGTAGAGAAAATCTTGAGCCTAGAATAAGTAATGGTCACTTCGAAGTGGAGCGCGATGCGCCCTCAGACCGCTTAATAGAAGTAAGCAATGGTAGAGGGTGTGTCACATAATGAGCGTCGCTGATGCCAAATTAATATTACATCAGTGGGGTCTCGATCTTCCAGTATTCACAAATATACAAAGTACTCGTCATCCTACCGCCTCCCCTCAGAGGGGGCTCACTGTTGGATGGATTATCTCAAGGAACCCACCCAACTCAGCACCAAAAAGCTGCATTGGAGCAGAAGGTAGCTTAGCTACAGAGGTTCTGTCTTCCTGTAACACATCTTTACCTAAAACACTACGCTCCTCATTCGGCAAATCATAATGATTATGATCGACATTGCTGAGAAGGCTTAATAAAATCAACATCGAAACCCACGCAGCTATCTGTCAAAAGCAGGCTGACCAATGACGTTGGAGCATTCGGCATGAGCTTCACACATTGACATGATTCAAACGTAAGCATGCAAGCGTTTACTGGGTTTTATATTTAAGCCACCTGTACATCTCAAATATCCACAGCTTTATCTCCGACTCGAGAAGTCTAACGTGTTCCTCGTACACATCCTTTTTGTATTAAAGATCTCAACATCGGATACAACCACTCCTAGAAGTCAAGCGAATATATGCTTTGATACAGCAAGCCATGAGATAGGAGGTAGTGGTGTATATAAGCAAATGATTGCAGTAAACGAAATCAAGCTAGAGAACCTTGCTTTACAGAGCTATCGAATAGAAACCTACTGGTTGCGCCTGATTCGTATGGCGTAAGGATGCATTGTCGATCCGATTGCGCTATGCAATAACTCTTAACTCGGGCGACGTGGAAGCACGTCTGTCACCATATCGAGACTGCTTAACTTTTACATTGTCGCGTAGAATGAAAGTTAGTATTTCGCCATTCTCTTAGCAAACTGTAGTGGCAATGTTGCAATTTGCGATATTGCGAGATCTATACTATCTTGGCTACGAGCCTAGTAGATGTACCTTGGTCTGGAAAGGTATACTGTTGGGCAAGCAGCCCTAAGCCGCTATCTGCACATTTAAACAAACAATACTTAAATGTGAGAACGCACGTTTGCCAATCAGCATCAATTTGAAGCAGGGTACTTTTGTGGTAAAAATGACGAATCACAATCGACAGGAAATCGTCGTCCAAATCCAAAAGCGCACGTCACAGGCTTTGCTGAGGAATCAATAATTTTGCCGCTTCTATAATCATCCAAAAAAATTGATAATCCTTTTGAATCATGACTGGTGTGCCGCGTTAGCATCATTTACACCACACTTGTGTAAGTACCGAACCACTATTGTAATGAGCTACAATTAGACACTACATGAAGGTACATCTATGTATCTACTGTATGCTCGGTGGGATTGATAAAAAAGATTAGATTATGGTGTTCCCAAACGCAAATATGACAACTTATATGAAGTCACCAGCATTCTGTAACACAGAATGCTGAATCCTACTTCATAATTTGCACTGGTGACGAGACCAACCTGTCTCTGTCTCTAAAAGTGGGAGGCGTAGACCAGTCACTTCTACTGAACACTTTCCACGAGCTTGGAAGTTCAAGCTTTTTGAAGCTCAAGCTTTGCACACCCAACATCTTGTAGGAGTTCAAGTTGAGTTTTAAAGTTTAGCGTATTTTAAATTGCACAAATCAAAAACACAGCATTTTATCAGTAAGCTCTTCGTAACCCTGGGGGTGTTTTGCATGGAAGCTAGAGAGCTATTTAATTTAGTTGCAAAGCAGCCTGAAAGGCCTTAGTCGTTCTTCTTCCCTCCAAGTCTGGACTATCCTTCTCCCTCCACGCCAGAACTCGCTTTCTCGTCGCACAAGCGTGTGTGTCGTGTTTCAAGGACTGTTTGAAGCAGCGGCCTCTTCCAAATGTCAAAAATATGTTTTTGATCAGGCAGTGGTCAATCTACTTTGAGCTGGATTTTCGGGGGATCTGAACGGATCTCATGCGCTCTGACAACAAGATGTCTTCAACGCCAAAGGCACATTTCCTACTCTGTTGCATAGCCTATTATGACGCATACACTCGAAAACAGCTCGTCAGTGATTAATACGAGTGTCCATATCTAATCTTACAGAAATGATCAAATATACCGTCGACATAGTCGAAGTCTAAGAACCAGCATCACCAGACGGTCAAATGATCTGGTCTGTTATAAAGCATCTGAGGCATAATCCAGATCGGCGGACCGTCCATTAAACCACTTCAATTTGCTCTTCTATTCGTGTTTTATGTGAGCATCTCCGAAGCGGGTCATCCCTTACATATCTAATCTGACAGAAATGAGCGAATATACTGTCAACATAGTCTACATACATTAGGAAGTCTTAGCACCAGCATCACCAGACGGTCAAATGATCTGGTGTGTTATACAGTATCTGAGGCACAATCAGTATTTCAGATCGGCGGGCCGTCTATTAGACCACTTCGATTTGCTCTTCTTGTCGTGGTTTATGGGAGCATCTCCGAAGCGGGTCATCCCTTTCAAGAAGCAAAATGAAACTGAGCATGCTTTTGGGGTCACCATCCGTGACCTGAAAAGAGCTGTGGGCCTAGCGTAATGTTTATATAGTGTCTGCCAAGGACGTAAAACTCGTGAGAAATCCAATACTTAGCGACGCATCATAGAGAATGTCATGATCTGGACACGTTCTTTACATCCCATTCTTTATCGTCAGCACCACAACATATGGCTATGGAAGCATTATTTTTCTCTGTCGGTATCGGGTAAGATGATAATCGCCGACTTGTTATATTACCCACTGAAAATCATCTGAGCCAGATACCAAAGTGACTGCTTTGGAATATTTTCCGGGATACTCTTAAGGATTCTACGACGTCGTAATTACGCAAACATTACGATTCCATCTTGGAGAATGTTGGATAACGGGTTTATGATTCACGCCACAAGTATCCGGACAAATTGTCTCATCGTGAGCTTGTTGAATCCATTAAGCTTGTTGTTCTTCATGCAATTGCGATGAATTTTGATGAAGCGAGCGGTTTTACGAAAGGACAGCCCAGCTTATATATATTCGATTGGTCGGCAGTAAAATATGGCTTTTCTCGATTGATGCTGATTGCAGCACACATTTCGGAGTGCCCTTGATGTATGTTCGCATTCTAGTGAGCGTTTTGTGAGTACGATATAATCTACACCCCCCTTTTGTCCCTTATCGTCATTTGAAAACAAATTCAATCACAATATTCGATTGCTGGATGTTCTGCTAACCGATGGGCATGACAAATAGCCCTCCGTCAGTGAATACATGATGATCGGACGATATTCTAGTGTTATCACTCGATTCAAAAGTTGCATTACGCAACGTCCTTCGGGTCTATGTGCTCTTCACCAAATTAACCACAGAAAGCGCTAAAATGTAAGCAGCCTATTCGATGTCGCGCATGCATTTCTAGTGCATCTTTAAGTCCAGGCAAATTTATTGAAGAGTAACTGTCGAAAGGATACAACTCGGTGGCGTGCGTTTGAAACTATGCTCCAGTGGGTGCTATACGAAGCTGCCACTAATTGATTACATTCAGCTCAAGCGTCCTGATCAAGCTCCTTCCGCATCCTGGTGGATTACAGCTGCTGTATTGTGCCCATTGTTTAAAGCATGTAATTTTGTTTTGGCCACACTGCAAACTCCAGAGTTGGTGATTTCCTAACGACGAACCAAGATTCGCAACCTGGTAATAAATATTACCTGGTAATAAATATTTCTGACAACACCTCTAAATCAAAATGGTTGCTTTCGACAATTCGCACAATTCATTGCTGCTAAGCCAGAAGCTCGTTAATAATATGTCGTTGTAGTACGTGCAATAGCTTTTGAATGACCTTGCTTTTTTTCAAGCTGAGCTCATCAATGAAAACGTTGCTGTTCCTCCTGTGCTGCCCAGAGAGCCTGCGAGGATGCGATAAGGGAAAATCATTTCCTTCGTTATCAATACTTACTGAAACGGGGCTACACGTACCCTGGTATGAAGGGGTGGGTAATACAAGATGGTGTGACCATGGCTACACCTTAACAAGGAGCCACTACGTGGCGGGACTGCCTGTCGTTGTGCAATTTAATTAGGTTTTACTATTTGATTAGGATAACCTAGAGTTTTAGATATAGGCGGCTCTACCGCAAATAAAATAGATAAATGCAGGTTGGATTTTGAACAGAAGAGTGTAGTTGCCTTGGGTTAAGGTTGTGGTTGCTCTTGGAGTTAGCGGATTGCGATCCGCTTCACTCATACCGGTTCTAATATAGAACGTAAGGTCGGTGACTTTAGCTTAGCTTCCTCTAAGCAAAGAGCTACGGCAGCCCCGCTGCACTTATTGTGCTCAGTTTGCAACGTTTTGGAGTGAGGAGCCAGTCACACACATTAAGAAGATCACGGAACTTTGCATGATCAATACCAGACAAGGGATTTTTGAGTTCAGAAAGCATTTCTGAATTATAACCACATGACGATGTCTATCGATGCTTAGAATATATGAAGAACCGCTCAATAGACTTTGCCAGCGGGTGGTCTATTGACTTCTCTAACACTACCTCGTCAGGTCGGATTTCTCACTTTTGAACGGGCGAAGAATCCAACCGCACAGCATTGAGCAGTTCGTTTAAGGCATTTTCCAAGCCAAAAATACGATGTCCTTTTAGAAAATTCTATGATATGCCAAATACGTGTCATACGCCAGATCCCGGTGTGTCATAACCAGCTTCATTTATAAATATAGTAAAAGTCATATCTTATGACGCCTGGCCCAGTCCCTTACCAAAGCTCGGGAGGATAGCACCCGAACGCCAAAGCAGTAATGACTTTGAACCCCACAATTATATATGTTGATAAGTTCGCTTTTGGTTACGTGCGAACTTTACACAATCATATTCTACCAAGCTATTTTGCAGGTATGGAACGCTGCTTCGAAGAGATCTCCTCGGCGGTGCTGGACGCAGGCGAGCTCATTTCGTACCGCACACTCGGTATTCGATCGGAAACTTCAAACTCTGTCAGTATTGATGCACTCGATAATTTTCTCGCTAACAACGACACCGTCAAGTCTTTGCAGCTGCTGATCGAGCGCGTGGCCGTCGACAGTGATGACAACCGTCTAAAACCGGCGGCAGCCAAGCATGACCCAAGGTCTCGCATCATATCATTTGCGCTAGGTAATCAGACAGACAGAAATGGCTTATTCTGCAAACAGACGTATGCGCTCTACAACAAGTCATATTTTGCAGAAGATGTCGCTGCTCAAGTGAGCGCCATAGCCACAGTCTGCTATGCTCAAGAGCGCCAGGTGCGCAACAAAGTGCTTAGTAGCTTAGTAAAGCATGAACCGTTGTCTACATCTGCCAAAGCGCTGTATGCGAGCAGCATTAAGTGTAAAGAGGCAACGACGCGTCAGTGCTTTGGGGATCAAGGAGAAGAGACCATCTCAGCCTTCGATGGCATAAATGTGCCAGCAACAAACGGCAAGGTGTCGTCTTCTTCGTTCTTCAAGCGTAGTGAAAAGATGGGATCGGTTGAAAAGCGTGGCTCAGTGAGGAAGGGAGGGTCCAAGACAAGTAGCCAGCCCAAAGTGACGAAATTGGATATGAGTAACGTGCTAACTGTGGATAGTGATGACGATGATGATGTTGACGATGATGAAGATGAGACAACAGATGCTCCTGTATTTATCAAAAAGCGCGTAACTAACAAGAGGATAATCAGTGATGATGAAGATGACGAGGCTGAACTGCCGGCCGTCAAAGAATCAAATACTTCGTTGCCAAAGAGTCGCAACGTCAAGCGAAAACTAAATGCTTCGCCAGTAGAGGCAAAGAAAGCACTACAAGATGAGGAACCGGATGAAGATGTACGACGGAAACAAGGTGTGTTGTCTAAAGTTGAGGATGACGAGTCTGAAGAGGAGCCTATTATTGCGACAAAGAGACAAGTACTCGTTTCGAAGACTCGTATCAATGAACAAGGTTATATGGTCACGGAGAAATCTTATCAGGAGGTCGAACTAACGCCGGACGAGATCGAAAACGAGCGGAAAGCTGCGAAAAAGAAGAAACGAAAAAATATTGCTGTGGAAAACGCTGCCAAGGCAAAAAAGGAGGCCAAACAGCAAAGCGGGCTGCCTAGACAGCGTGACTTGCGCTCTTTCTTCTCAAATAAGTAATCGCTAACATAATCCTTTCAGGAACTATAAGAAATGCAGAAAATTGCATTTTTTAAGTGAAATTTCATTTTTTATAGGTCAATCAAGGCACATGGAAGCGGGGCATGCATTGCGTGACCATACTGGCACTTTCTTTCTACTGCTCCATATCCTGATCCTCGTTTTCTTCTTCATCATCAACTTCATGGAACATGAACTCGCGTTGATATTCCATAAGGAACTGTGTGGAACGCTTAACGTCGGCAAACAGCGAGTAGACGCGCTTGATATCGGGCACATCTACCTCAGTACCCTTGCGTTTTGAGCATACAAGTGAAGCCGTGATGATCATTTGGATAGCATATCGTAGCGATGTTTCCACGGCAATACGCGTAAGCAAGTCCTTCGCCTCTTCCGTCATTTCTACGTCCTCTTCTTCACACCGAATGATGAGAATCTTGCGCATTTCCGACTCGCTGTACGGTTTTGTAGGAATGATCATAAGTCGGTCTAAGAGGTCAATAGGAATACCGTGTGGACTCTTGTAATTAGTACCGCGAATACGAGTAATGCCACGGTTCGTTGCAATTATGAGCACGGGAGCCATGTCGCTTTCAAGCGCACGGTTGAGCCAAGAAAAGCATTCAATGTCCAGCATATGAACTTCATCGATAAATAACACACCTGGTACAATCGCTGCCTTTCCTTCTTCTCGCCACTCGGCAACCTTCGTGTCAATCTGTTCACGGACTTCGTCCTTGATCTCACCCGTATCACCGGCAAACAGCGCAAGAAAACCTTGTGACCGTGAGTTAATGACATCAATTTCGTGGAGTGACACCACGTGGACCACTTCCTTTCGCTTCTGCAATTCGCCCTCTGGACATTGCACAAAACGAGTTTGCGCTCCCATGGCATCATAATCACGAGAGCGAGTAAACGATCGTCCGAGCTTGGAAATCTTGCCTGATTCTTTGTTGATGGTAATCACATCACCAGCTTCAACCTTTTCCTTGGTTAACGAGTCAATCATCTTGGCTCCAAGATCGTACACAGTCTCCATCTCGGTTGTGCGAAGCGTAAGTCTACCAACTTTGTCTCCTACACCACCGGTGGGAGTGTCTACCTGAATTTCTACGACTTCTCCCTCAATAATTTCTGTCTCCTCCATTATTCTTACGCCAATAGAGCGACGAAAAGCCTGCGTCAAAGCTTCTGTCTTGCTCATCTCTAGTGAAAAGACCTCACTACCCGCAATAGTCGTAAATGGCGTGTCTTCTCCTAGCGCCTGTGCAATGCCCATAGCAATCGCCGTCTTGCCTGTGCCGGGCTTTCCGGCCAACAAGATAGCCCGGCCAGCAATGTTACCCTGTTCAATCATCTTGGCCACAATACCCGCCGCTTTACGCGCTTCAGTCTGACCTACCATACCTTGAGAGGACATGCGCGGCTCGAGACTATCATCGAGGCCCAAGCCGCGGATATGCGAGTGTGCGCCAATGCGCTCGATGCGCGTGATATCTTTGATTTCAGCTTGTGTTTTGACTGTACCTGACTGTGTGGATCACATGAGTGCTTTATAGCTACGAAATGCAGTGACAGAAGCTTAAGTCGCGTACCATGTTAAGCAATGTGTAATTGAGGTGACTAGATTGACACTTGTGACTTTTGAATCTTAAAGTGTCTTAGGAGTGAGTATCTTTGGAGCCAAGGGATGGGCTTCGCAAATAAGTACGATTCCAGATTGATTTAAAAAAGTTTTTGAACACCAGCAAATTTACAAAGCTTCGATATCAAGTCACATACATTTTATCGCTTTTCAAATGTCATCTTTTCTATTTGTACATCAAACACTACGATACAGTATTATATACGATGTGTTGGAGCGCTGTAGCATGTACGTTGATTACGTTGATACCAAAGATCTTGGAAATTATAGCAGAGGCGGAGTTATGTTTATCGCTTTATTGTATTTGGTCGCAGCGCTGATACATCGATTTCATGGAGATTGACGACTTATTAGTGTTTTGCACCACTAAGTCAATACTGCTCTCCCAGCGAGTCTCAGCCCAACTGAGCATAGCATGGTCTTGAGACCTGAACTTTTGGTCAACTCAATTTGTTCGTCCATGAGCCTCCGAAAGTTGCGGCATTGGAAACTATTGAAGACTAAGTGTAGAGGGCATCATACTGCGCTGTGTCATATATTGGTTAACTATCTCTCCTTACAAAACCGTGTGTTGTGAGCTGGGATCCAGAAGTATGCTTATGAAATTCAACCTTTGATTAATCCCGTCTTAAGCAAAATTTAATTTCTTGAAAGGCGCCCACTGCTCCAGTGTTAAAACCTTGGAATGAAGATAGCTATTCTTGCTGACTTAAGTTCATACAAGTATAATACAATCGAATTAACTAATTTGATATATATGATTTCTATAAATGGTTTATGAAGAAAATTTGGTCAAGAAAATTTATACCGAACTTTACTATGAAGAACATGCTGCGAAAGGGTTGTTGTGCGCCTCGCATGAAGGAAGCTTTGATTCAACTAGCTCGTGTTAACAAACACAGCTGGTGAGGTCACTCGCTCCACCCTGGTGCGAAAACCGCAGCCTCCCAAATAGCTAAGAACTTCTCTTCTCTTGATTCAAGTGTGACGTATATTTTGAAGAAAGTATGGCTGGGGCTAATTCTCGATATATCGGCTCTAATATTCACGAGAATAGATACTATGAATGTATTGGGGAGAGTGCAATTAGTTGCTGTGTACTTTGCTTACAAGCAGCTTTGATTTTAAGAGTCTGCGCCGGCAACCGCACAGATGTTGGTTTTGTGCGCTACAACCAGGACTTGTTATCTGGATTGCTCTATTAATTCAAGTATACATATATGTTTGAACTAGACTAGCATTAAATATCTATATTAACAGTCACTTAACTATAGCTGTCTTACTTTTTTGACGTGTCTAGCTGCTCACGTGAGATACGAATTCCCCCTTTTTGGAGTTCCATTATCGTCATAAATACCGATAGCTCGGTCTTATTGATTATTTGCAGTCGCACCAAAGTATTGCAATTGATACGATTGAACTCAATGAATAAGGAATAAGCAAACGATATTGTAGTACTGACTCCCCCCATTAAGAAATAGACTTATCTGAAGCTCTCACTCATTTCTTTTTGAAGACACTGCGTAAGCTATGACGACAGCCACTACCCATGGGGTAAATCACCGGTACTTTACCGCGCCTGCTTCTCAGAGCTCGCTCAAATTGAAGGCTTCCTTCTGTGCACCAAAAAAAATATAATATGCAGCGGGGCTGCCGTAGCAAAACGCTTGAGGAAGGATACTTTAGGTCACCGACCTTTCGTTCTTTACAAGAACCAAGTATGAGTTAGCGGACAACAATCTGCTTACTACAAGAGTGATTATTGCCTTCCCAGGGCTAATCGACTCTCCGGTTTAAATTCCAAACTGATTTTTTTTATTTATTTATCCAAAGTTTAAAAGTTTAGATTTTCCTAAATATACCAGATATATACGGTAAAATCTAAATACATGCATAACTACTGGCTACCTAGCCCCGTACCGTATTCTTGTT